CTCAAACTCCAGCCTAATGCCATAATCAGTAGGCCATTCCCTGGCTTTGCAATAGGTGAGAACCCAGGGTATTTTTCAGATGTTCATTTTAAGTTTCATTTTAGCATAGCTAATGTTGCCTACAAGAGAATTTCATCTTATGTGAGAGTGTGGGGAATCTTGTGCTGACGAACTCAGCTGATGACAGCTCTCCAGAGTCCACTGATAATATGTCTGTGGACAGCCAGAGACTCCCTGCTGGGTATCAGTGCACAGCATTCATCACCCTGCTGCCAAACAGAGCCTGGTGTAGTGAAAGAAATCAGAAAATACATCCTGGCCAAAATGAAATCAATGGCAAACACCTGTTCACTGGTGGGCCCCAGATTAAACCTCACACCTGGAACACCTTCCTTCTGAATGGAAAAAAAGACAGTGTTTATGGTAAGCTATTTTTTAAATTTTGGGGGTGGTAGTCTTCTCAAAGACCTGTGGAAGCATCTACTAATTTCAGATGATGTCACATATAGAAAGTGAGTGAGCACACTTTTTTCCCCTAGGATTTGAAACAAACTAAAAAGAAAAATTATTTCCTCTTATTTTTTAATTAGAATTGCCCACCCCTCAGCAGGTGGAAGGACACTGCCTGCAGGAGCTTTTTTGTTGGCTAAAAACCTGGTTTATATAATCAGCATGGTAATTAGTGAGCTCTTTGCTATTAAAAGGAACTCATTACTGCTATATTTTTCTGATTGATCCATACTCATGAAGCAATTTAAAAATGTAAAAAGCATTTTGTGAACCACTTAAAATCTTCAATATGAATATCAAGAAAATGTAACTGACAGTTGTCTTTGACTAAACTCCAATCTATAATTCTCTAGCAGTTCGAGCAAATCTACATGGAACTGGAAACCCTAAATAATTACCTTAAGTCATATATTGTTCTCTGCTACTTGTCAGATTTCCTTTGCAAGCGATGGGGTCTGGTTAGATCAAGTAAATAATTCAGATTCTGTGACACTTTCACAGGTGATGCAATCAGACAAAGCAACCAAGTTCCTACACAGATAGCTGTAGAGTCACTGGATTCCCCTGGATGACTCCGCAACTTGCAGTGATGCTGCTTTTTTCCCTGAGGGCTCCTGGGAGGCTTGCCGTGTCCATGAAGTCCTGTTAGTCACATGGAGAGATAGCTTTCTGAGAAGCAGTTTGAAAATAAAATCACCTTTACTCAAAATTAACGATAAGCATGGATCTGAAACTGTTACTTTCAGTTTGTACTGAAAGTACAGAATGAGTTACTTTCAACTTTGTACTCTCTGCCAAGTTTTCTCATGCTTCAAAAAGAAGTGATAAATTATCCAACAATTTCTAATATTCAAATTCAAGGAGAAGGGAGAAGAATGAGGGAGAGATGACAAGAGGGTGGACACATGTCAACTGCTCAAAGAATTTCCCTTATTCAGGAAAATCTCAAGTGAAATTCTGCCTCCAATGAAGTCAACATACAATTCAATGAACTCAACAGTGCCAGTATTTCAGCCTTGACCTCCATCCTCTAGTGCTTCTAATAAGCAGTCTGTTCCTTTCTCCCTGACCAGCTCAGGTGCCACTTAATTTCCAAGCTAGCTGTGGCTCTGAGGTTGACCCCATTCTTTTAGGCATTAAAAAAAAAAATTTGATTCTTCCATCACGACAGCAAGCCAATCTGGTGTTTATAGGCCTCACTACAGCACCAAATACTTCTAAAAACCGAAAGGGCATCACTAGTAACTGAAACGGGTACTTTTTTTGACAGGGATCATAAGTAACTATGGCTGGCCCAATTCATCTGCTATTAAAGTAAAAAGCAGACTTCAGTGAGAGTTGGGTCAGGCCCTAAAATCATGCAGCATGGTCACACAGTGCTTACAACAGGAAGGCAATATGGATTTCAGCTCAGACATTCATGAGAATCAAGGTAGGTCACTGTCCTGGAGGGCATGAGGACAGCCATATCACTGTTCATGTACTTCTGGGCACTTCATGTGGACAAGTGATCTCCACAACTTATTTGTATAATTTTCATTCTATGCTCCCACAGACACACTCTCCTGCCAGCATTAAAACCACCGATGTGCCGTTTCAGAGCAATTCCTTTAAGATAATGAATTTCAGTATTTAAAGGTCTATTTCCCTACCCTGTTCCTTCCCATTTCCATATTTTGAAGAGGAAAGGATTATGCTATTTCAGCCTTTGCTCTTGTTTTTTTAGTGCAATAAGTATTTTTAGGCTCTTTTCCCCTTCCACAAAAATGAGTGCTTATAGCACTCACTTTGCTTTAAGAAATTTATTCTTGCTTTCAAGCTGCGGAAACAACTCTTACTGAATATTATTTTTATCTTTCTTGGAGATGGGTGACTTATTTTTAATTGCTTCTTTAGGTCAGGATGCTGCTTACCACTATGCCTACATTTACTGTGTTCATTAGTTTAAGCTTTTTTAAAAAGTAAAATGTCAAATCACTTTTTTTCTCCTGGAAAGGGAAGTCATGGTAGAGAGAGAAATCAATTATTAATCACCATTAACCGAAAGTAAAAAAAAACCAAGAAGCATCTTAAAGACTCAAGTGCTCTTGAGTGAATGAATTTATACCAGATCATACTTTTCCAGCAGAAGCTCTCCTAGGAAATTAAAGCACAGGGAGATGGAGGTCTAAGTCCTCAGAGCTACTGAGGTCCTTTAATTTTATTTCAAGGCAAAAAAAAACCCTAAAACCCCACACTTAAAATTAAAACAAAAAAAGAAGGAAAAAAGAAAACAAGAAGAGAAAGAACAATCTCCAAGGTTACACAAAGATATACACGAAAACAAAGACCACAGCCAGCTCTTCCAAATATTAAACTCCAGTTAATCCAAATCCAGCTGTCCAACCCCTCAAAGTTAATAAATTAATATAGTCATAGAAGTACAAGATTGTAAACCCAGCACAATAAATTGTAACATCTACAGATTTCAGTACATGCAAGTAAATACACCCTTTGTTATTTCCTGCATTTTAATTTAACAAGTATGAAAAAGTACATGCAAAAACCCTGGAAAAATGCCACTGCTTCTCAATCCTACATATTTATTACATGGATCATAGGGGAGAGCCCATAAACATCCATAAACCGATTTATAGCCTCTTCTGCTATGAAGCAGTGTATTGAAAAAAGCCAGCCCAGAACTGCCTTGAAATGTGATTCAGTGATCTTGTATTTGCTATATTTTATGCAAAGCATAACACTAGCTTTTAACTCTAACTAATAACATTATTTTTGTCTTTTTATCCTGTATTTGGGAAGGTAAATTTGGACATAATACTGTAACTATCACACTGCCACTGAACTTCCTACCAGAGAATAAAGTCAGTATACAGATAAGAATACATCCACTTCTATAAATAAATAAATAAAAATTAGCATAACAAATAACCATCAGGAATTCAACTCTCCTAACAGGTTAATTCTAACTTTGCGTAACTAACGTTCAAAACCAGATACGCTAACATCAGCCAACTGAGTGGAGTCACCACGTGTGCACCATGCAAGGACTCCTCCATTTAACACTTGCAGTGAAATCACTGCCGCAGGTGGTGCTGTGTGCGCAGCTCTGCACCCAGCTACGGTCAGGCTGCTTCAGACTAGGGTAACGGTTGATGCAATAGCCTACCCTGACAGAAGACTCTGCGGTGTGTCAGATGCCCAAGAAAAGAGCGCACAAACCGTGCTGAAACTTTTATTAGTCAAGGTCATCCTTCACTTTGAAGTACAGCTTCAAACCCAGAAATGCAGTCACTTGTAACCCTGGAATATGCTGCTGAGCACCAACCCTTTGCCATCACTTCTGTTTCCCCAAGATCTGCTTCAGATCAGATCCCTGGAATCCTATGATCTGTCAGTCCTCATCTATCTACTGTTATTTCCTGATTTATTATAATGTTAAAACTAAAGTGGGGGATTTGTTTGTTTATTTGAACCAAGGACAAGGCTGTTAGGGAATCAGGGTGACACCATTTTAACAATGTAATCAGAATTAATTTCCTCTCTCTTTTGTCAAGGTTGTCTCCTGCCCTTCAAGAGCTTGCTGGGACATACTTCTGTGCAATATATTGCTTTATTTTCCTTTCCTTTCAGTTTTAGTCATTTTGACACCATAGGCAGTTTTCAACTGGATAAATTGTATTTTCTTATTTTTCTAAGAAATCTGGTCAAGAATATTCTACAGGATCCACGGTTTTATTGAGAGCTTCTCAGCATATCTTCTGTCCTCCTCAGACTATCTTTTTTTGCCTGTTTTAACTGCTGTTTGTCTAGCAACAGGCAACTCCCTTCCTTAGAAAATGTCGCTCATGGACCTTCATTGCTGTATGAACCAAGTATTTGAATATGAACCACTCTGGGAAACCCATGGGCTTAGGCCTGTACTAATACTTCTGTGACCTACTCATTGCTACAGGCTGTACTAGGAAAGAAAGGGGATATGGTAAGAAACCTAGATGAGAGTAACGTAGAAATCATAAGCTACGGCAGCATCATTGATCTGTGTAAGAAAAAGCAAAGCTGAGAGCATGTGAAATGCATTTTCCTGGAACCACTCTTTCCAATAATTGAAAGCAGAGAGTGAGATCACAGACCAGAAGTGTAAAGTCAGCTGAAGAGTCCTGCTCCACTGGGAATGACAAGCAGGTCATTCTTCTGAAGATTTTAGGGAGAAGTATGTCAGTCCAGCTGATGAAAGCAGATTAAGGAAAAAGTCAGTAAAGGAAAAGTATTCCATAAGTCCACACAAAGGCAGCAACCAGAAAAAAAATAATTAGAAAAATGGCTCATCTCCTAAGTACCACATGTTAACTTTGTGCCAGCGGTCTTGTTTTTTTAATAACTAATTTATTCATTACTCCAGACTAAAGTGACTTTTATTACCAAATGAGTCTACACTGTCAGCTGAACTGATTTCTTCTTTTATCAAAGAGTTTTTATCTCATGGACCTGACCTTGTGGACAGAAGTCAATCTGTACCAACGGGCTGAGTGTCAGAGCTGTCCCCAGTGTGGTTGACGAAGACAACACTAATGTGACCACCAGGAGCTGTAGCTTACTCTGGGGAGGTATTCCAGTACGGCACTGCGGTCAATTTTCCTGCAAAGACAAACCTGAGAAAAATATTTCAATGAGGCTTATGTTGCTGTTAAAGAACCAAACAGCATCACCCTGTTCACACTTTTAAAAGCTTCTCTGCTTATAGTGTCCCCAGAGTGAAATTGTGAAAATACAAAGCGGCATTTTAGAATCCCCAGTTTCTCCTGTAACCAACATTCTTGCACATACTTGCTGTGTCTAGCAAAACATTGGTTAAAGTGAGCCCAGACAGAATACAAGACAACTTTTTTGCTCCAAAGTATTATTTATCTTAAATTTAGATATGGAGTAAATTACTGCTAGTCCTGCTACATTATGTTCTTGCTGTTCTTTTCATGCTATTCTTGATACTAAAGAAGGCAGTGCTATTCTTCTAAGATTTTACATGGGGGGCATGAAGGTGCCCCACATAGACTAATGATGGCAAAGGGACCTTTGGGATTAGTGGAACTGAGACCTTTAACCCTACACTGCTTTCATTCTGGACTGTAAGCTGCCTGCCAACATTTCACCTGCTCCTTTGGCACCTCTTTATACTCTTTAATTTTCAGGACAGGTAGTAAACATGGCACAGCCTGTAACATCTACTTTTTGAGAGACCCCCTGCAACAGTAGGAACTCCTCCATACCCTACATAAAACTCATGAAAAATGGGCTCACGATCAATTACTAACATTTCTCTTATATCATATTATCCATTTTACGTAGCAAGGCAGCCTCTAAGTGCACCAGTCTTGTTTTAAGCAAGCCAGCAACTTTTTGCAGGGAAAGGCCATAATACAGAATTAGTGACGTGCCTCAGTGAAGGATACTTTGGAAACTAGACCCTTTTATAATGTATTACCTTTTGTCTCTTCAGATTTCAGTACACGTGTGAAAATTTCAGATTTCTTCTCTCCTCAGAAGGTATCGGTCTTCAACACAATGCCACGACACAGTTTGTCACTGTTCAGCTAACTGCAGTAACTAAACCTATTTCAAAAGAAAGAAAAACAAAAGAGACTGTAGCAGTATACAAAGAAAAGAGAACTAACATTAATGGAAAGCCAGTACCAGGCCTCCTTGTTCTAGCTAGTGCAATTAGTATTTAATGCTAATAATTCATATCTTCAGTAAGACACATATAGTTACCACTGACAATAATGCAGGCTCCAATAACATGGGATAAAATTATATGCATGCATTTACATAAACACTGCAAACTTCACCCTTTTTCACTTCCCTTCAGAGATAATCCCACACCAACATCATTAAACTAATTTATATCCCTGGCTAGAGAATATCAAAAACCATTGTGCAATTTTCCATTTCCTTTGAATGAGCTTTCAGTCATAATCTACATTTTTATTCACGTTAACATCCTTTGCTAAATTTATAAGGATATGTGTTTCAACAACTGAAATCAGTGTATTTGCTCTCAATTGCACTGCTCATTTCAGATTAGTTGTTTATTTAACTGAACAAGCATTCCACAGAAACTTGTGACAACCAAGATTATCATCTGACCCCTTGAGATTACCCACAGAGAGCCAGCCACTCACTGAACTATTTTGAAAGTTGTTTGGCAAATTGAGAAAAATATTTGCATATTCTGTGACATAGGAGGTACCTTCTACTTGCATGGGCATGAAGTGGCCTTGTATAATAAAATTAGTATTTCCTGTATCTACTGAAAAACACATGCATCCTAGTATCCCACCGACCTATTTAACAGACACATAGCAGTTACGCTTTGATCACCCACCAGATACCTAGATCTTCTTCCTTCTCCTGTTACTTCCTACGATAGATCTATATTTTGTGGTAGAAATGTTTGATATGAATCTCTAAATGACCTTGTATGACCTTGTACTTTGTACTACTAAACTTCATCCTAACTTTTAAAGTTTTCTAATTCTTTCCATATTACATTCTGATTTTTCCCTGAGTAGAGAATGCTTCGTAAGTTTGCCTCAGCAGATTTCATTAGTATATGTCTACTTCTTGCACCAAGGGTAACTAAAAATATTAAAATATGAAATATAACCAATCTGAAACTTGGAGGAGCTCCACTGGGAACCATTAGGAACAGTCTCAGTAGCATGATTATTCTCCTAACTATACATAAAAAGAGAGGAAAAGGCTCTTATTTATCATTTCTACATAGAAGGACAGAAAATAAAGGCATCACACAAAAAACAACAAGCAGATAATAAAAAAAAATCTTCTGCCTTATAGGCAGGTTTCCACAAGCTACTACTGAAGGCCAGTACTTAGTAGTAGTCACAAGAACATTAAGATGATTAAGACTACAGTGTGCAAATAGCTCAATTCAGGTACACATTATACACATATTGTTCCTGATTCCCTGAGGCACACAGAGATCAATACCACAGTTTGAGACCAAGGCCAGCTTTTTCTCAGCACGATATTTTTAAACTAGATGCTCCTTACAGTAACACAGATCTGCAGCAATCCAGCTGAAACCAAGTGAGATACATATGTTGCAAACCAGTTACAATTTATTTTAGAATGAAGTCCTATAATTCAACTTAAACATTCAGAGGAGAAAAGGCTACAGGCGAAGTCTCTGCATACCTATTGTAAGGGGGAGGAAAGGGAAAAAGTTATGACATGCGGATGCTTTCATTGCATTAGCTCTTAATGGTATGGCTCTTTATTGCCAACAGCTCCAAGTATCACAAAAAGCTCTTACTTTGCCATTATCTTCTTCATGTTGGTTTTAAGCTGGTTAGAAGCCAAGGTCCAGCAACCTCGCATCAGGGAAAAGCTTACAGGAGAGTCTAATGATGATCAAGACCTGTACTGTACATCATGAAATTGAGAAAAAGTTACTTCCTTTGTCACTCTTTTTATGTTGCCCTTCTTACTCTGCCACTTCACCCAAGACAGGTTTCAGAGTGGCATATATATACACATGTAGCAGCAGGTGAGATTTTTTTGGCCCTGCATCAAGCAGCATGCTTAGCCCTGGTGCTACTATTCCCCTTCCTTACTTCTGCTTTTCTTAGTCCTTAAAAGATCTCTGTTCTGAATAATCAATAATTTAAGGCCCCCTGAAATGTTATAAATTATCTATTTTTGTAACATTTATGCTTAATTGTGCAACTATGACAGATTTGTTAGCAATGACAGAGGAGTGAGTTGTTCCAGCATGTACAGCTAAAGCTTGAAGTAACACCTGGGTTTTGACCAATAGAAACTGGCAGTGCCATTCAGCAGACTGGAGAAGAGATGGTCACTCTTAACCTCTATGTACAGTTGTGGGGAGAATTTCTCCCTCACCCCACATAAACATTGTCAGCTGAGCGTCCAACAGAACATGGAGTTCTTCAGATGGATTAATTGTAATAAATATGTAAGCAAAGCAAAGGAAGTTTGGATTCTCCTTTGTAAAGCTTTTCAGTTTTTAGCCAGAGGTGGTCACAAAGTTGAAAACAGTTTGGTTTTGTTTCCATCTGCAGGTATCATAAAAAGCAAAGAATATGCAGTAGTGGAGACCAGATGTGAGTCATACACATGCCCTTCAAGAGGTAAAAGTGTCAGGGGTTTTTCAGGAAATGTGAAGACAGAAAGTGAGAAAGTAGTCTCCCTCAAACCAGCCTTTGTACTAGCTGTTCTTGATGCTCCAGGCAACCTCATTTAGCCTTTGGCTGCTGCCTTGCCAAGCAGCCTTTGATGTTGCCCCAGGCAATTATCATCTAGCCTTTGGCTTCTGATTCATTGGACACCTTTTGTTGCCATTTCTGATTTGTGTGATCAGATCTTATAAATTTCAGGTATATATGACTCTTTTTGTCCATCTGGACAATTATGTAAATCTGATGTAATCGTGGTCTTTTTATTTTTATTTAATTCACTTCAATGGTTTTATTTTCTTTCCTCTCTATAATAGACTCAGAAAATCCCAATCTTCCTGCCCAATGGGATGCCTCATCTGCTTTGATTTTTCTATTCGGTTTTTTTGGGTGGGGAGGAGCAATATGCATTCTTTGTATTTATCTCATTTTATACTCAAAATGTTGAATGCATACCTTCCAGAGCCAGATCTTCCATGCCCTTTTGCTCAAGGCAATATATCTTGGCCTTATCAAGCAGCAATGGAAGAGATTTCGAATAAGATGGCTGCTAAAGCTGTGAACTCCTGCCTATTACTCCTGCATTAATAGAAAGAGTAGTAAAAATCTGCCATCAGATTTCTTTGCTCATGATACTTGTAACTTATTTCTTCCTTGACTAGGAAAAAGCTGAATTTAGATTAGACTGTAGCTGTGAGGTGTCATCATTTCAACTAATTTGGGGAGTGGGAGAGGAATGTTTGGCCAGCTGAATGTTAGCAGATATTCTGAGTTTTACTATACATTTTTGATCCTCACTTTTTGTATACATTCCTTTTGATCACATCTTGTGACTTTTCAAAGTGATAGGCCAACTTCAAAGAACAATAGTGTCTAAATATCAAAAGGTCTCCACAATTTTAACCTTAAACAAACTGTATTGCATACACAAATCTATCTTCAAATTTATCTAGCAGCTTCCCTATTACCACACCACAAAACAGGTATCACAGTAATGAACATTAATTCTGCAAAGGAACTAACTGCAGACATTTGGAGCCACTCTAGCAGTAGGGTGCTCTTATCTAAATAGTCAGCGAACTGGAAGGCCTCAACTAATGCCTGCAGGCTGTAGACCCCAAAACAGACCACTACATTAAAGATACATCCCCTGTTTTCGAAAGTTTACACAAGAAAATTACAACATAGCTATACAAACAAAGACATACCATTAAATAAAAAAAAGTATGAAGTATCCTGCTAGAAATAGCTTTTAAAGGAAAGGCTATATAGTGCAAAGAAAGCAGGAAACTCTTCCATTTTAACTTCCAGAAACTTCTCCTTGCTCCGTGCACTCCTAGTTTGTACATCTGTGCTCAGCAATGGCACCATGCAGGCATCAGAGCCAGGAACTGCCATCAGCCCCACTCTATAGGTCAGGGCAGCAATGTTTGCACTGTATTTCACAAGAATGTCTGAACGCTTCTAAGCTAGCAGCTTTCCCTCGCTCATTAGTAAACGCACTAACATGAAAGTCTGAATGGTGCAAAGTCACAGGGTCACTTCGGTTGGAAGGGACCTTTTGAGACCATCTAGCCCAAACCCCCTGGGCTCAAGCAGCATCAGCAAGAGCAGGCTGTCCAGGACTGTCCAGTTGGGTGTTCAGGACCTCCACAGACAGAGACTCCACAAACTCTCTGAGCAACCTGCTCCTGCATACAGCTGGACTGTGTTACATCATCTGCACTCTCCCATCTTACAGACGTGAGCACAACATGACTAGAGGTGAGGGGGGCGAGGGGAATCACTGAGCCACATGGCACTTGTTCTCAGTCATCCTCTACAGCACAGCATGAAAAACATCATCTTCCAGCGTGATGAAGCAAGGGCATACCTGCTTTACTAACAACGCTCCACAAGTGAAATTTGGTGGCTTGTTTGCTTTTAGGTTTTTTTCTTTCTGAATAATCTTATTCAAGGAGAAACAAAATGATCATCAATGGAAAACCAAAAAGTAAATGCAAACCCTAAAGTCTCAAGTTTAGTATCATTGACTTTTCAGAGCATAAAAATAATGCAAGATGGCAAAGAACTCAAAGAAAGATAACTTTCCAGTAAGATCAAATTGCCTGGAGTGACCAACATTTTAGCAAAAAGCCAGCCAAGTTCTGCAGTTAATATCTGAAGAAAACATAAACACAAGAATAAAATACTATGCAAAGAAAGGCACTGAAGCACCACTATACCTGCCCAAAAGCATTGTAACCATACGCTGCTACTATTTCATAATATTGCAACCCTGACATTATGTAGCTTTTGCATTAATGCAAATGAACTTTTAACTTACTTTAAAATGACAGGAACATTAAGCAGTATAAATTTTCATGTGGCTAACACTCTTGTGAATGCACAAAGGCAATCGCAGAAGTCTGTTTAGGTGGTTTACACAATACTATATTGGCATTTAACTTTCAGATTTGGCTGGAAAACACTTGCTCAGCATTGATGCTCAGGAACATAAGCCTAACAGCAGTTCTCAAAGAAACACCTACACTCTAGAATATGCTTAGTCATTTTAAACTTAAAACTACCCTTTTTTGGACTCTAATAACAGAATGTGGTGCCTTTTTTGGTGAAGTATTTTCATGTTTTAATCATCTTCTGACCACACTGTAATTTGAAATTAGTCTTATGTCTTTAAAAAATTTACAACCACGTTTTCAAAAAAAAATCAGCTACCTCATTTTGTCAAAAGTCACTAGAAGTAGGAAGCACATTTTGCCAAATATCTCTGGGAATAGCACCCAGTCAGAAAAATATATAATTTGGGATGAGGCCTTGCTTGCCCCATCCCCAACAGCTGAGCTGGGTTAGCAAATTCAAAACTGACATCACTGTCAAAACTCAGAATCCTTAAAAAAAAAAAAACCACCACAAAACAACAACAAAAAATCCCCCAAACCCACAACTGGTAACAAACCCTTCTACAAATACTAGCTCAGTTATTCAGTCTCGGGGTGAAACACCAAATATCTACAGCATATTAATATCTGATGGCCTTAGTAGAAATTCCTCTTGCCCTGTTAGAACTTGATTGGTTCTGATCAGATCTTTACCATGACAATTTTGTAATCTGTTAGAGAACAGAAAATAAGACCATGTTTCTGTAGCTCTTTTAAATAATGTTTGTAAAACTTGTGCTGTTAAAACAGGTCTTCCTAGTTTTCTTTCCCCCTGCTTGAATATTGTTTATTTCCACCTGCACATTGATTCATAGCCCCAGTAGTTTCTACAAATTACCTTCCCTCCAGAATATTATTATGGTGCCCTATAATCATTACATCACTACTAACTACAGTTACCAATAGTACAGTGCGCGGAGTTGGGTTAATCATTATCTACCCAGGCTTAGATGTCACAAACTTGCTGGAAAGAAATAAATTATAGATCAATACTACTGGAACTGGAATGATCTATCCCAATTAATTAGAACTACCATATTTCAGTACATTTCAGACAACAGTTACAAAGATTCAGTGAATTACTGATATGAAAAAGTCAAACCCTTAAATAAATCTTAGTAAGCCCAGTCCCTAAACTACCATTCCACAGAGACAGGGGGTTTTTAATGCACAATCATAAAATAATTTACTAGTAACAGCATTAGCAACAGCTGAATTTCAAAGCAATAGCTCCATATACAGCCAGTATGAAACATAAAACCTTCACAGCCTTGCATGAATGGACTGGGTTGACTAGGTGAGAAATTGTGCCTAGATTTCTAGCAGTTTACCTCAAATGTCTTCACAACATAACTCTGTGTCAAGTTTATCCCAAATTTTGGGAAAATCCCTGAAATAGTTAAAAGGCTTCACTGGAGCAGGTATGCACCTACTAGCATATCCACCTAGTATCAAACTAAATCTTACCATTGGAAGCTGTGACAAGTCAAGCATGAGACTGATGCTATAAAGTAAAATAAATTTGGATGAAAAAAACAAAGCACAGATATTTATTCACCCTAGTTGTTACTGGAAGAATGGATGTTTTAGTCTGGGATTCATCTAGGTGATGTATCTATTGTCCTCTTATCCTTGCAATCAACCCAAACAAGTTTTGGGTGAGAATATCATCCCAAATTGAGTGGTTACTACACAGAACTGGAACCTTGCCCAGTGGAAGGACTTTGTCAGAGAGACAGGTTGGTGCTTCCAACAGGAGCCCGAGACACTCGTTCTGTTTTACAGTGCCACTGCCTGACCAAAAGCCTGTCTGTACGTCAAGGCTGTAGCTCTGTGGAAGCAGCCAACAGCCTCCCTGTTGCAAAGGGAGGAAAGACTACGATGGCATTCTGCCTTCTTGCCTCTTAAAAGTGCTGCCCTTCCTCAGCATGAATGGTCTATATCTGCCAAGATCCATTTTATGAACTGAACTAGCACCTCCAGAATAGCCCTTGGGAGTGGATTTGGTTTTAATTTGCCTGGAGGATGTCATGTGCTGCTTGTTGCACAGGGGAAGGAGCTGACAGCAGCATTGTTTTGTTACAGATTATTTTTCAGTGCAGTCAAAAGGATGAAATCACACGTATTATCTAATTAAACCAAATGAATCGGTAGTTCTGTCTTGCATGCTGCTGGCATATCATCTTACAAGATGTGCTTTTGAAAGCAAAAAAACCAATTTTATTTCCCTTTGAGAAGCTCCACAGAGTAATACCATCAACCATTTTAGGAATACCCCAGCAGGTCAAACCAAATCTATTACTGTCCATCAGACCAGATCTAGAGTAGTCTTAAAGGAAGAAATATTTAAATCTATCAAAATATTTTCTTTAGTATTAATTTAACATTTTAAAATACTTTGATTTGCCTATGTCCACACAGGGACAAGCACTGTGCATGGCCAGAAAAAAAAAAAATTAAAAAAATGCTGGAAACAGAGCTTTTTATTTAGCTTTTTGCTACTCAAAAATATAGCAGGAACTTCTGGAAAACAATCCATTCTATCTTCAGGAAAACAACTTTGCATATGGTTCATAAATAATCAAAAATCTTAAAAGATATCCAAAGAGTACTGAAATTTTCTCCCTTAACAGAAAAGCATTTAAGGTATGTGTGTGTGGGGGGGTGGTTTACATTGACTGCACAGACCTAAAGGTGCAACAATACGCAAGCTTCCCGTACCATTCACGCAGCTGAATGGAACTGAACTGAGCAAAGATAAAAATTGAACTGAAGTGTTTGCATCTCTGCCCGTGTTTGTGATTGAGAAATATATTTGGGGCAATAATTACAGCTGCTTTGTTCCTTCACCCTGCTGATCACTGATTACAAGAATGAGTTTCTGGGGAACTATTTGACTTCCCCAGCAGTCTGATCTCCAGACTGAACGTGCTGATGAGCAACGGAAAACACTGAAGGTGTGGCAAGCTGGAGGCTGCCCACAGAAATGCAGTTATGAACATAACAAGTGTATTGTAAAACATGCTTCCCGTTTTTCAAACTTGATGTAAAGTCTATCACTCGCCAATTTCCTATGACAAGCTGAAAAGCTTAAGTTTTTTCCCACTTTGCAACTGATCCAGCAGGACAATGAAGAGACAAAAAATTAAATGGATAAGCTAAGAAAAAAGAAACAAGGAAATAAGAAGGGGCAAAAATCACACACTGCACAAGAAACAGGAGAAATAATAAAGGGCATGTGTTATCCCAGAAGTGGCACAGTATTCTTTCAAGTAATGTTTCTGAATAGTATTTACACACCTCCAAATCATATCAGAAGAGCAGCAAGGGAAAAGAACATGTTAACCCCTCCAAGGTGTTTTGGGATGACATTGCTTTGTTTAAATGAATCCTGCAGAAAAGGCACAGGACGACTCACGTGTCCCCACGGTGTTTCCTGAACCCTTCTTTGAAACGTTTGAAAGTTTAATGACTTAAATTTGCTCACAAGTATCATCAGAGGTATTCTAGGATGGGATTTCAATATACTTACTGTCCTTTCAAAATATTGAACAGAAATACCTCAACAAAATAACTAATTACAGTAAAACAGGAAAAAAGTATGTTTCTAATAGCACTTAATTGTTTTGCATGACATAACACCAAAAAGAGGAAAACCAACAACCAAAGCACTTTATGTGAACAGACCTGCCCAGAGTACCAAACCCAGCAGTGACTCTGCAGTTAAGAGCACTAACAAGACAGCTACAAACTTCCCCAGCCAGTCCCAGACCTGGCAGGAGAGAGGCACAGGTGGGACAAGCCCCATCACCACCTCTAAGTTACTCTCACCGTACTAGAGGGGAAGCCTCAGATTTGGACCCAGAGCTCTTAAAGGGAGCGCGAGATGAAACCCATATCTGGGACACAGTCAGCAGGGATATTTTCAGACAGTAGCTTCTGAAAAGAAAGTAACTGTCACGTGCATGGGCTAATCCGATACAGAATTGGTTTCCTGATAATGCCCAAAACTCAGCAAAGACCAAGACCCTTTTGTGCTCGACACCGTACAGTTGCTGCAAAGTACTCTTCACCCTCAAGGTCTAGTTCCTTCAGCAGGTAAGGCAGCCAAGCTTTTGGGAGGGAAAAAAGGGTACCCCGAGATTAAAAAAAAAAGTTTGGAAGGTGAAAAGAACGGAGCAAGGAATTAATTCTTAGACTCCTGACTAAGAGATAGGCAATGCTACCTCGGCAACGGAAACGCTGTGACTGCCTCTGCTCGCCTGCCAGCCTCACCACATCGAAGTACACGAGGCTTGTTACTTATCACAACTCGTGACGCCCCCCGCGTCACCTGCGTGCCGTATCCCCCTCTCCGCCAACCCCACCAGATCCGGGCTGACGCTAACCCCACGATGCCGCGGTCCCGCTTTGC